AAGATGGTTATAAATCTGCATTGATCAAGATAATAGAAAAAACAAACAAGAGCGTGTCAGAGAACAAAGTAACTCTGAAGTATTAAACTGCATTTATTTCAAATGCAAGGGGTCTTGCAGGTAAAGCTGATGAAGTTATGGCACGTTTGGGAACATGAAATTGGGACATCATACCTATTACAGGAACTTGGCTGAGGGATGGATAGGACTGGCAGCTCAATGTTTAGGGTTTTAGATGCTATAGGAAGGATGGGAAGAAGGCAAGAGAGGAGGGGACCTGCGTTTTTGATTAAAGAGAACATTACTGCTGTATCTGGAGAAGATTTTTCAAAAAGATTGGCTAGTTAAAGTATATGGGTTGAAATTAGAAATAAGAAAGGAATGACCACCTTGATAGGTTTGTATTGTAGGCCCACCGACAGTCAGAGGGAAATTGAGGAACAAATATGTAGAGAAATCTCAGATATACGTAAGCATGATAAGGTTGTAATAATAGGGGATTTTAATTTTCCAAACATTGATTGGGACTACCATAGTATTTAAGGTTTGGATGATGAAGAATTTGTTAAATACATTCAAGAAAATTTTCTTGATCAATATGTAAATGTTCTTAGTCGAGAAGAAGCAAAGCTTGACCTTCACTTGGCTAATAAGGGGGGCAAGTTACTGAGGTGATAGTAATGGAACACTTTGGGTCTAGTAATCATAATTCTATTAGTTTTAAAATGTTCATGGAAAAAGAATAAGTCTTCTATGAAATTCAAAGTTTTTAACTGGGGTAAGACAAATATTAATAGTATGAGACAAGAACTTTGAAAAGTTGATTGGTGTATGCTGGTGACAGGTAAAGGAACGTCTTACAAGTGGGAGGCTTTCAAAAGTGGGATAACGAGAGTTTAGAGTCATTATGTGCCGGTTAGAGTGAAAGTTAAGCCTGGTAGGATTAAGGAACAATGAATAAATAAAGATATTGAGGTTCTAGTCAAGAATATAAAACTATCATATATTAGATATAGACAACCGGGTTCAAATGAATCCCTTGACCAGGAGGAGTGCGGGGCATTCTGAAGAGGGAAATCAGGAAGGCAAAGAGGGGATATGAGATAGCCTTGGCAGATAAGGTTAAGGATAATCCAAAGAGATTCTACAAGTACATTAAGACTAAGAGAGCAACTAGAGAGAGAGTAGGGCCCCTTAAAAATCAAAGATGTCATATTTGTTTTGAACCTGAGGAGATGGGAGAGATATTAAATTAATATTTCATGTCAGATTTTGCCGTGGAGAAAGAAATGGATGCTGGAGAACTCAGGAATAAATATTGATGTTTTGAAAACAGTTCACATTACAGAAGAGGAATTGCTGGAGATCTTAGAAAATATAAAGGTGGATAAATCTGTGGGTCCTGAATTAGTGCATTCCAGACGTTATGGGAAGTTTGGGAGAAAATTGCAGGACCCCTCGCAGAAATATTTGTATCATCTGTGCCTATGGGTGAGGTGCCAGATGACTGGAGAATGGCTAATTTTTTGCTTTTGTTTAAGAAGGGATGTAAGGAGAAGCCTGGGAGCTATGAATCTGAGAATCTGACTTCGGTGATGAGTAAGTTGTTGGAGATAATTCTGAAAGATAGGATTTATATGCATTTGGACAGGCAAGGAATGATTAGGAATAGTCAGTATGATTTTGTGTGTGGGAAATCATGTCCCACAAACTTGACTGAGTTTTATGAAGAAGTAACCAAAAAGATTGAGGGCAGAGCAGTAGACATTATTTATTTGGATTTCAGTAAAGCCTTTGACAAGGTTCTGCATGGTAGACTAATTAGTAAGGTTAGATCACTTGGGATTCAGGGTGAGCTTGTCAATTGGATGCAAAATTGGCTTAACAGCAGGAGACACAATGGTGGTGGAGGGTAATTCTTTTGGTCTAGAGAGTTGTTACAGTAATGTTCCACAGGAATTGGTACTGCGTCTGCTTTTGTTTGTTATTGATATAAATGATTTAGATGGGAACATAGAAGGCACAGTTAGTAAGTTTGTGGATTGATGGTATAATAGACAGTGAAGAAGGTTATGTAAGATTACAAAGACACCTTGATTAATTAGGTCAATGGGCTGAGGAGTGGCAGATGGAGTTTAATTTGGATAAATGCAAAGGATTGCACTTTGGTAAAAACAAACAAGGGCAGGACTTAGACAGTTAGAAATAGGGCCTTGGGTAGTGTTGTAGAACAGAGAGACCGAGCAATTCAGGTACATAATTCTTTTAAGTTTGCATCACATGTAGACAGGGTGGTTAAGAAGGTGCTTGCCTTCATTGCTCAGATCTTTGAGTGTAGGAGTTGGGAAATCTTGTTGAATTTGTGTAGGATGTTGGTGAGGCCTCTTCTGGAGTACTGTGTGCAGTTCTGGTCTCCCTATTCTAGGAAGGATATTTTTAAGCTGGAGAGAGTTCAAAACAGATTTACCAGGATGTTGAAGACAGTAAGGACTGCAGATTCTGGAAGCTAGATTCAATAAATGTTGAGCTGGAAAAGCACAGCAGGTAAGACAGCATCCAAGGAGCAGGGAAGTCAAGGTTTCAGGCTGAAACCCTTTGTCAGGACAGGGTACAGGGAGGGGAACCCAGAAATAAATAGATGGGGGGTGGAGCTGGGGGGAGGGTAGGTGAGATGGAGATAGGTGGATGCAGGTAGGAAGTTATTGTGGTTGGTCAGTGGGAAAGGTGAAGTGGTTAGGTGAGTAGGAAGATGGACAAGTTGGGGAAGGAGAGATTTTGAAGCTTGTTATGCAGGTAGGGGGATATCATGCTTGGATAGTGGGAAGGGTGGAGCAGATAGGTGAGTTGGAAGATGGACAGTTTGAGGGTGGAAAGATTTTGAAGTCAATATTCAGGCCGTTGGGCTGTAAGTTCCCAAGGTAAAATATAAGGTGTTATCCTTCCAGTTTATATTTGGCCTCATTCTGACAGTGGATGAGGCCAAGGATGAACATGTCACCAGGGGAGTGGGAGTGGGGTTGATTGGTGAGTGCAGAGCGTAGGCACTCTGTGAATCAGTATGCAAGTCTGCGTTGGGTCTCCCTGATAGAGGAGACCAGATCAGGGGCAACAGGTACAGTGGATGAGGAGCAGGTGAATCTCTGCTGGATTTGAAAGGATTGTTTGGGGCCTTGGATGGAGGTAAGAGGGGAGGTGTAGGGGCAGGTATAGCACCTCCTGCGGTTGCAGGGAAAGGTACTGGTTAGGGTGGAGGGGTTGGTGGGGAGTGTGGAGCTGACAAGGAAGTCACAGAGTGAATGGTCCCTGTGGAAAGCGGACAGGGTGGGGAGTGAAGTATCTTTTTTGTGTTGGGGTCTGATTGTAGGTGACGGAAATGTCAGAGGATGATGCGTTATATTCGGAGGTGGGGTGGTGTGTGAGGACTAAGGGAACTCTATCCTTATTGTTAACATTTTGGGTCCGGTGACCCTTCCTCAGAACTGAGGACCCGAAATGTTAACTCTGATATTTTTCTTCACCGATGCTGCCAGATGTGCTGAGCTTTTCCAGCAACTTCTGTTTTTGTTCTGATTTACAGCATCTGCAGTTCTTTCGGTTTCTATCCTCATTGTTGGCGGGAGAGAGTTTCAGGGCAGAAGTGTGGGAAATGGGGGAGATGCAGTTGAGGGCATCCTCAATAACAGATGAGGGGAAACTAGGGTCCCTAAAGTAGGAGGATATCTGGGAAGTCCTAGAGTAAAACGTCTTATGCTGGGAGCAGATGTGGTGGAGGCAGAGGAGTTGTGAATAAGGAATAGCATTTTTGCAGGAGGGTGGGTGAGAGGAAGTGTAGTCGAGGTAATTGTGGAAGTCTGTAGGTTTGAAATGGGTGTCTGTGGTGAGTCAATTACCGGAGATGGAGATGGAGAGGTCCAGGAAGCGGAGGGAGGTGTCAGAAATGGTCCAGGTGAATTTTATAGCACGGTGGAAAGAGTTGTCAAATTTGGTGAACTGTTTGAGCTCCTCGCAGAAGCACAAGGCACCACCAATACAGTCATCAATGTAGCGGAAGAAGAGGTGAGGGATGGTGCCGGCGTAGTCATTGAAGAAGAACTGTTCCACGAATCCTACAAAGAGGCAGGCATAGCTTGGGCCCGTGCAGGTACCCATGGCCACCCCTTTGGTTTGTAGGAAGTGGGAGGAATCAAAGGAAAATTTGTTGAGGGTGAGGTCCAGTTCCACCAAGCAAATGAATGTGTCAGTGGAGGGGAGCCTAAGGGAGAGGAGCAGGCGGAGAGCTTTTATGCCATCCTCATGGGGGATACGGTGTACAGGGACTGAACAACCAGAGTGAAAATGAGGTGCCGGGGGCCAGGGAATTGAAATTTCTTTGAAAAGATGGAGGGTGTGGGTTGTGTCCAGAATGTATGTGGGGAGTTCCTGGACCGAAGGGGAAAGTATGGAGGAGTCAAAGTAGGAGGAGATGAGCTCAGTGGGGCAGGTGCAGGCAGAGACAATGGGTCAACCAGGGCAGTCAGGTTTATGGATATTGGGTTGGAGATAGTTCCCCAACCCTGCAGTGCCCATTTCTATCAGGTTGGAGGCTGTGGTTGGAAGATCTCCTGAGGTAATGAGGTTGTTGATGGTCTGGGAGATGATGGCTTGGTGATCAGAGGTGGGGTCATGATCAAGGGGACGGTAGGAGGAGGTGTCAGAGAGTTGGCTTCTGGCCTCATCGATGTAGATGTCAGTTTCTCATACTAACACTGTGCCTCCCCTGTCAGCAGGTTTAATGGTGAGGTTGGGGTTGGAGCGGAGGGCTGCGCTTTCCAATGGGGAGAGGTTGGAGAGAGTGAGAGGGGCGGAGAGAATCAGGTGATTGGTGTCATGGCAGCAGTTGGAGATGAAGAGGTCGACAGAGGGTAGGAAGCTTGGAGGGGTTGTCCAGGAAGATGGAGTTTGTTGGAGGCGGGAGAAGTGGTCATCAGAGGTGGGTTGGATTTTCATTCAAAGAAATAGCCATGGAGGTGGAGGTGGCGGAGAAAGAGTTCAACATCAAGGCCAGTGTGAAATTTGTTCACGTGTGGGCACAGGGGAATGAAGGTGAGTCCTTTGCTGAGGACTAAACATTCAGCCTCAGTGAGGGAGAGGTCTGGAGGGGGGATGGTGAATACCTGGCAGAGCTTGTGGCTGGGGTTAAGTGTTGAGCTGGAGCTAGAAGCGGGGATGGAGACTGCAGCTGGAGTGGTTGTGTGTACAGGAGGGGTCACATCGGTGGAAGCAGAAGTAATGACTTGGTCGGCGGCCGTCACGTGGTCAGCAGCGTTCCTTGCTGTCGTCTTTGGCCTCCTCCACTGTCAGAGTGAGGCCAAACATAAACTGGAGGAACAACACCTGATATTCTGCCTTGGGAGCTTACAGCCCAATGGCCTTAATATTGACTTCACCAGCTGCAAAATCTCTCCACTGTCAACCTGTTCATCTTCCAACTTACCTATCCACTCCACCCTTCCCACTGACCAACCACAATAACCTCTTACCTGCATCCACCTATCTCCATTCCACTTATCCTCTCCCTAGCTCCACTCCCCTCCCTGTATTTCCGGGCTGCCCTCCCTGTCCCCAGCCCTGACGAAGGGTTTTGGCCCTAAACATTGACTTGCCTGTTCCTCGGATGCTATCTGACCTGTTGTGCTTTTCCAGCTCCACATTTATTGACTTTACCAGGATGTTGCTGGGAATGGAAGGTTGAATTATAGTGAGCGGCTGGACTTTTTTCACTGGAGCATAGAGGGTTGAGGGGTGACCTTATCAAGGTTTATAACATCATAAGGGGTATAGATAAGGTGAATGGTGATAGGGTTATGTCTTTTCCCAATGGTGGGGGATTTCAAGACTAGGGGCATATTGTTAAGGTGAGAGGAGAGGATTTAAAAAGGGCATGAGGGGCAACCTTTTACAAAGTGGTTCCTGTGTGGAATGAACTTCTCGAGGAAGTGGTGGATGCGGGTACAGTTACAATGTCTAAAAGGCATTTGGATAAGTACATGAATAAGAAACACTTGGAGGGATATGGGCGTGTGCAGGCAGGTGGGACTAATTTAGTTTGGGATTACGGCCAGCATGGACTGATTGGACAGAAGGGTCTGTTTCCATGCTGTACGACGATGACTCTATGACTGGCAGTTGAGTTTCTGTGGTTTTTAATTTGGGTCTCTCCCATGACAACGAAATCAAATGTCTCTGAGGAGAGTTCAGTACAATGCCTATTCCTATTCCTCAGTGCACTCTGTTTTACCTCTAAATTAAAGGAGACAATTTAAAACAAAACTATATTATGATCTTGCGTTCATAACAATTAATATAGAATTCTTTAACATTTGAAACTCTGCTCAAAGTCTATCCATAGAAAAGCAATTATTAAAAAACAGATCTTAATGATCTAACTGATGTTGATTTAGAAGTTATAACTTGTGCCAAGTCTTATAGTTGCTGTCCATGTAGTCTATGTTGACATGGTGGCTCTGTGGTTAGCACTGCTGCCTCGCAGTGCTAGGGACCCTGGTTCAATTCCAGCCTTGGGTGGCTGTGCGAAGTTTGCACATTCTCCCTGTGTCTGCATGGGTTTCCTCCTGGTGCTTCAGTTTCCTCCCACAGTACAAAGATGTGCAGGGAAAGTGGACTGATCATGCTAAATCACCTGTAGTGTTCAGGGATGTGTAGATTAGGGGGATGGTTCTGGGTGGGATGCTCCAAGGGTCAGTGTGGATGTGTTGGGCCAAAGGGCCTGTTTCCACGCTGTAGGGATTCTATGGTGATGAACTGCAACATTGTTTAACTGCTGGTTGGTTGAAAAGGACTAACCATTTAGTATTCCCTGAGTTTCTGAGGAAAGGTCAGGTAGGATTTATGCTCTATAATTTTTCTGAAGTTCCCTAACTAGTAAAGACACCATTAGACTGAAATGTGGTGGCTCTAAGAGTCTCTCAATCAGTGCAAAAGAAAACACAACCCACATCTTCAAATAAGAGAAATATATGTATCCTTGTTTCTGAAACAGTGATTTCCATGAACTATTGCCACCAGCAGGCCTTGCACTATAAATGACTTTAAACTAGTTTGACAGGGGGATGGGAGCCTAAGGAGAGGTTTTGAGTTAGCTGGAGTGGGTGAGGGCTTAAGGAAAAAAGAGAATCAAGATGGTAAATAAAAAGCAAGAAGCAGCTGAGCAGTGTAGCACTAAGATGAGTGGAAACCAGATAGTGACGGAGAAAGTAAGAATGTTTGAAAACAAAGGTTCTTCTGGTGGAGATGTTAGGATTCAAAAAAAGATATTAAAAAACTAGCACAAGGGCACTTTAAATGCTCGCAGCATTTGAAACCAGGTAAATGAGTTGATAGCACATTGCAAGTGGATATTAGTGGCTATTATAGAGAATGGTTGCAGAGTAGTTACGACTGGGAGTTAAATATCCAGGTGTATCAGACTGTACAGAAGGACAGACAGGAAAGAAAGGGGGGTGGCATAGCTCTGATATTTAGAGATGACATCAGGGCAGTAGTGAGAGATGATATAGGTTCTATAGAGAAAAGGGTTGAATCAATGTGGGTGGAAATTAGAAATAGTAAGGGGAAAAAGTCACTGACAGGTGTAGTCTACAGGCCGCTAAATAGTAACATCATGGTGGGGTGGGCAATAAACAAAGAAGTAACTGATACATGTAGAAATGGTACAGCAATTATCATGGGGGAGTTTAATCTACATATTGATTGATCAAATCAAGTTGGTCAAGCCAGCCTTGAGGAGGGGTTCATAGAATGTATCCGCGATAGTTTCCTTGAACAGTATGTAATGGAACCAACAAGGGAGCAAGCTATCCTAGATCTGGTCCTGTGTAATGAGACAGGATTAATTGATGATCTCATAGTTAGGGATCCTCTTGGAAGGAACGATCATAATATGAATTTAAAATACAGATGGAGGGTGAGAAAGTAAAATCCAATACCAGTGTCTTTTGCTTAATCAAAGGAGACTACATTGAGATGAGAGACGAGTTGGCCAAGGTAGACTGGAAGCAAAGACTGTGTGGTGGGACAATTGAGGAACACTGGCAGACTTTCAAAGTGCTCAGCAAAAGTATGTACCAGTGAAAAGGATATTGTCCTTTATTGCTAGAGGGATGGAGTTTTAAAAACATGGAGGCTATGCTGTAGCTGTATAGGGTGCTGGTGAGGATATGCTTGGAGTACTGTGTACAGTTTTGGTCTCCTTACTAGAAAAAGGATGTGCTGGCATTGGAGGGGGTGCAGAGAAGGTTGACCAGGTTGATTCCAGAGTTGAGAGGATAGGTTATGAGGAGAGATTGAGGAGACTGGGACTAAACTCATTGGAATTTAGAAAATGAGGGGGGATCTTATAGAAATATATGAAGGGAATAGGTAAGACTGAAGCAGGGAGGTTGTTTCTACTGGCAGGTGAAACTAGAACTAGGGGGCATAGCCTCAAAATAAGGCGGAGTAGATTTGGGCCTGAGTTGAGGAGGAACTTCTTCGCCCAAACGGTCGCGATTCTGTGGAATTCCCTGTCCAGTGAAGTAGTTGAGGCCACCTCACTGAATGTTTTTAAGGCAAAGATGGATTTTTGAGCCGTAAAGGAATTAAGTGTTATGGTGAGCGGGTGGGTACATGACAAGATCAACCATGATCTTATTGAATGGAAGAGCAGGCTCGAGGGGCCAGATGGCCTACTCCTGGTCCTTTATACGTTCTTCTGAAATTTGACTGTCAGTGAACTTGTTTTCCTGGGAATGGCAAATGTAGGTTAGTAACTCCTTATTGTTTAGTATAAAAGGGAAAATATAATTGGAGATTAATAGTTGGGTAACATACTATATACCCAGCAAATCAAGTTGAAAAATATTTGTTTTGGAACTCTTGATGCATTTAAAACAATAACAATATCCCTGCAAATGTCAGCATATAGTCATTTACTAGTCAAAATCTGTAACAATAGAGAAAATTTAAACACAATTCAGAATGTGTTCCCTTTAAGAGAAGGTCCAAGATAAATCTGGTGTCTAAAGTTCGATTCCCACAATCTGCAAAAGGAACCTACCATAATTTTAGTTCAAATAGTCTCAGCCCCCAGAGAAGAGTTATCTGTAAAACGTCACTGCCTGTTAGCTGCCTATATAGTGAGTGTAATTAGTAATGCTGAATGTTGTCAGCCGGTATTTCTGGTGTCTGCCTGGTGCCTTGCACCAAGTTTTATGATTAGAGACAAATAGTTTGAAATGTGCGGGTTAGTGTCTCAAGCTTCATTCTGTGGGGCAAGGCGCCAGATCTTGGTTTAATGAGTTGGACCTTAAGGCCAACATTAATATTGGTCACAATTCAACAAAGTACAAAAGCGGTTAGTCGCCAGCTTCGAAGTGCTCAGTTGTAAATACTCAAAGGAAGGGCAGAACTATTAATTCTGCAATTTGTGTAACCTGGCATTGTCAAACAGCTAGCATTGGCAGAAAGGCGTGTTACTGCCTCGGCTACTGTCACTGTTTTCTTTGCTCTATTAAACTCACATTGTTTCCATGGTTTCCCCCAAAACATACATGAAGGGGGATAAAATGGACAAAGAAAGACTGTCACCTCTTTGTGCACCAAACATCCTTGTCCTTTGGGATCCACCGCCACCAGTTCCCTTCAAAACCTAGACCAGCCTGAGAGAGAAAACAAATTTGCAGCACAGCCCCTGCTTTAGTTCTCTGAAAATTTATTCAAGAAATAGTGTATTTGTTGGTGGAACGGGCTGGTCGTGTGAGCTCAGATAGAGCCAGGCTCTAGGACATCCCACCTCGTCTATTTGGAAAAGTGAGAATCGTTAAAGGAGATAGAAGATGGAGAGAATCCTGGTGAGATTTCTGCAGCTCCTTCTCTTCCTCATGTTGAACACACTGCATGTAGATTCCATGCAAACAGGTAAATCCCTTCCTGTCCTCTGTTTGAGTTTTGAGTGTGGGCATCCCCTCCAAATCTCCTTGTTTTTAAACAACTTTCAATTTCTGTTTTTGTTTCTGACCTCCAGCATCCGCAGTTCTTTCAGTTTT